TGATCAACTAATTTACCATTAACCATATCCAAAAATTTACCAGGAATTAGGGTGTACTTCTGCTTCTCCCCCTGTTGATATAATAAAATTATCATTTTGAAAACAATTTGGAATCTATGTCACTTTTATATAATAATTTGCTGAAAAAACAAAACTTTATAAAATGTTCCACCATTTCTCCAAATCTTCCATCTAGTATTCAAACTAGACTGAGATGATGTAAATTTCAAAGTTCCATCTGTAATATCTTATCTTTATAACATCCCCCTGTGTTTTCTTATTTCCAAAAGAAAAACAATTTAGAGGTGGAAAACAAAAATAGAAGAACTTTCCCTAATTATGCTAAAATTTCAACATGTCCAATCAGTTACCCATAAAAAATATAAACCAAGTTTATTTAGTTAGAATTTAGGTTAGTTTGTTAGTGTTGTTAGTCAAAGTGGATAACACAATTTCCTAATAACTACATCTATCTGCTTTAAGCCAAGGCTGAATTCTCGTTTCATATTAATTTCACTGCACAAGCAGATGATTCAGCTTTAACCAGATCGTGACAGCAAAATATGAAATTGTCATTACCTTAAAATTGTCCCTTAAAGCAGTAATAAAAACATATTTATGAAACAAAACCTTCAGTGTCCCTAAATAGTTTAAAATAAGAAAAATAACACACAGCTACACACTAAACTGAGGTCATATTTACACAGACCATCCTAAAACCCATCAAAGGCCATCTGCCTCCACATTCACTCTCATTCACACTCAAGCAGACTCATCAACACCCCATTGTAAGAAAGATGCAGGATGTTACCCCAGATCTCAAACCAAAATTTGTCCTGTGAAAGTCTTAAACACAATTATTATAACACCATGGTTGAAAAAAAAAATAACAATTATCCAATAGGTCCAATATTGTTCAGTTTTGAGTGAACCTTTTTTTAAAAACTCCATATTATACACACAACCGTATTTCATGATAGCCCACTGTTATTAAATGGCTACCTAGACCCCCTGTAGGAAAACCCAAAAACCGTTCATGTGGTCATGTAATATGCTAAATGGGCTGCACACGAAGATCGTCCTACAAGAAACAAAGTCATTCATTAGTGTTTCAACATGTCCTACATTAACAGTGTAGAAAACACTGTTAAGCAGAAAAACATCCATATGTTCTCATTTTTGTTCTCTTGTTACAATCAGTGAGGGTGTTCCATCCTGTCAGGAAACCTAGAAATTTAAGTGATTGTCAATGTTACAGTATTATAAAAAACAATTGGAACATTCCAGTGCTCCAGCCTGGAACTGATGCAACACATGTCACCCGCTGAGAAAGTAAAAACATCTGTAAGTCTGTTATTTTGTACTTTCCTTCTCAACACAAAACACAGTCCTAAAAGCAATTCACATCAAAATCCAAGAATCCTGAAAGCGTGAGCTGGAAATAGCACAGAACTGAAGCACTCCCAAAATGCAAATAAGGGGGGTCAATTAGTCCCCCTGCTGTGAAACACAACTGGTAACCAAAATGGAGACACCTCTGTCCCACAGAAGAAAATTTTAACAGAAAGTTAGTAATACAACATCCAGCAAAAATATTTAACAATATTTCAGAACACAATCTTGAAACACAAATCACTTCCGCACAATCTCAGCACAATTCAGACACAGACAGACGAATAGACAGCAGCGCGTGGTGGGACATAGGCTACAGTATAACGGGGGAAGACAGACACACAGCCATAAATCAACCTGCAGCCAAGCACGCACACAAACACTAAGAAACATACAAAACACAGAACACAGACAACGTTGTAGTTCAGTCAACTTACCGTAATGTCTTTGTGGTGAACTGCGACGCGTCTCTTCAGGTTGTGTTTTTTCCAGCTATCATGTGGCCACATTCCTTCCCTTCCACTAAAATCAAGCATTTGGGTTTGTTCTCCACCTAAAAGCGAAAATGTGTCCATAGATCACGTCTCCTCTTTCTCCCGAGCCCCAGAGTAGGCTACTCTGTGCCGCCCGCTCCAGGTTTGAAAGTGGGTGTGTGGAGCTGACGAGGAGGAGGCAGAGGAGGAGACGAGACAGGATTTGAAAAAAACATAAAATAATAATATTTCTGATTTACTCCCAGTTATTGTTTATTAGTGGGGATTTTCGTCTCGTCCCGTCTAGTTTTCGTTCGTGAAAAATGTGCGTTGACGAAAATATTTTAAATATTTAATATATAGCTCAGAACATTAGTTGCCGATGCATGTCGATGAAAAATGTTTTTACATCAAAATAGGCATGGAAGTGGATTCAAAGTAACAGCAAAGTGTATGTAGTGGATATATTCCTGAAATAAAGGCTTTGTGAAACGGCAATGCAGTGAACTTTGGCAACATTGAGCTTTTGTGCAGTTTTCCACGAAGCAGATCTGTGCTGAACTTTCTTGGTCTGGCTGCCTTGATCAGAGATTGGATGCAACCAGTTCAAATGCATTGGCTGTGGGAAAAGAAGGAAGGACATCATTATCATATTAGGAAAACGCGCGTATTTGATGCGCATTGTCTTGGTAAGAACGCGCATCAAGTTTTGCGGGTCAAAATGTGCGTTCTTAACGCCCATCATAACCATCATAACTGACGTAAAAAGTTGATACTTGTTGGTGTAGCGGACGGGATTTTACCGCCACCTTGTAGGGGGGTTAACTAACCCTAACCGTGGGGAGTACCGAACGGGACAGGATCTAGGTCCCCCACGCCCAATACCTAAAGGCCTCAATACTCCCGTTGTGGCAGCACGTTTTGTCTTGGTAGCTCACCTAGGCTTGGTAGAGTGGGCTTCAGTAAGGTACAGTAGCTGCCTGAAGGTGTATGTGGTGAGGTATGGTCCAGCACGTCTGTCACCACCCCACTACTATCCTAAGCCGGCTTCCCAAGTGAGGCGCCCCTACCCCCAGATTAGAGTAACCTGACTACAATTCAATTAAAGTGGGTAAAGAGAACACTACTAGCAGCTAGAGCTCACTTAAGTTGTACAATAACTAATTATATGACACATATATAGCACAGACAGTTAATAAGACGAGGAAACAGTGGTTATAATAATCAAACTAATAAAGAAAAAAAATCAAAACACTCTCGCACAGGTATAAGAATTCACCTCAGGCGATATGAATCAATTTATAACACAAAGAACCATCAAACCTTTTCTCCAACAGACATAAACATCTGCCCTGTCAGCTGGCAGTGGGCTGAGCAGCACACAGTAATGTGTAATTGTGTGCACATGCAGCTGTGTGTGTGTGTGTGTGTGTGTGTGTGTGTGTGTGTGTGTGTGTGTGTGTGGCAGAGGCTTGCTCAGCGGCTCAACAGTCTCTCCCAATACCACAGCATGAGTGGGTGTGTGTGTGTGTGTCGCACGGGTCAATGCGAATTCAACAGTTCAGTTCAGTCCAGCTGACCCAGCGAGCGTTATGAGCGTTGTGTGTATAAGTCTGCTTGAGTACGGGTGTGTATCGCACGGGTAAAAACAGATATAACAGTTCAGTTCAGTCCACTTGACCCGGCAAATGTTATGGACAGTGCTTTGAGCGTGTGGAGGGTGGGTGTATGTGTATGAATAGTTACCAACCCACGACCAAATTCCGTCACGGTGCTGGGCTAGATGGCAGGGCAAAAAACTCACAGACGTCCACTCCTGGCAAAATAGCTGCAAGCTACACTCCAGAACGTATGGGAGGCGGCAGCTAGGCTAGCATTTATAGCTTTACCTCCTTCTTGATGTTGTCGGATAGTCCCTTGGGATATCGCTGATTTCTATTCCCTTCCAGTAGAACAGCATACAGCAGCTTACCCCACCGGACCATTAGCCGTTACTCCACACAGTAATAAAGTAAACACCCGATGAACCAATCGATATTAAACTTCACAACTATACTCCAGGCCTACCGACTCGAAACACAACGGAGTTAGCTCATTAGCTCGTTCAATCAGCAATATTGGCTCCAAACTTTACTCCTGCCGGTTAACTTTTTATCCATCTCTATTTTTTTATTTCTGTTTTCCTCTTTTTTTTTACACACCGCTCGTTCCCCTCCCCCGAGTTCACGAGACCCCTTGTCCTTAAAGGGACAGGCGCTGTTTTTGCACCCACTACATTGGTAAAAGACGGCGAAAAAAAGCGGCACAATTTTGAAAAACCAGGCGGTTTTAGCGGGTGAATTTCAATCTTAACGTGATAATTAGATGCGAATAGAAGAATTCATGGCTTGCCATACATTACCTGACCAACCGCTGCTCCATCAGTCTGATCACTGAGATCCACCTGAGTTTTAAAGATCTTTGAATCACTGTATAAATTCAGATTAAACAATTTAATTCCGTAGTTAGATTGGATTATCCAGGATTATCAGATAGCAGCTTCCAGCTCTGATCCATGTGATCTAGAATCTCTACATCTGTTATCAACATCATGGCTGCCTGATGTTCCCATGATTTTACCAAACATGTTACAGAGTTAGCATGGGAGCTAATGAGCTAATGGATTCCTGTTTCCTAACAACAGGCTGACAGACATGATGGAGACCTGCTGCTACTCCAGACTTTATCATCTAGATCATTCCTTAGAGTGAAGAACATCAGTTAGAGGAACATCTGGATAATTTCTCACTGTTAGCTTGGTTAACGCTAGCTCCAGCTAACCAGGGCTGCATGCTGCATTCACTGGTAATAGGAAAAACCAGGAGCGTTTGCTGATGTTACGATAAACCAGCAGGTTAACAATCTGTGGTTCTACTGCTGATCCAGAACCTTGGTTCTGATCCAGTTTGTCATCTTTCTTCCAGGACGGATCCTGGTTCCTACCCACTGATCCTGGATGGTGGTTCTGATCCGGTCCATCATGTGATTCTGATTCCTACCAACTGATCCTGGATGGTGGTTCTGATCCGGTCCATCATGTGATTCTGGTTCCTACCCACTGATCCTGGATAGTGGTTCTGATCCGGTCCATCATGTGATTCTGGTTCCTACCCACTGATCCTGGATGGTGGTTCTGATCCGGTCCATCATGTGATCCTGGTTCCTACCCACTGATCCTGGATGGTGGTTCTGATCCGGTCCATCATGTGATTCTGGTTCCTACCCACTGATCCTGGATGGTGGTTCTGATCCGGTCCATCATGTGATTCTGGTTCCTACCAACTGATCCTGGATGGTGGTTCTGATCCGGTCCATCATGTGATTCTGGTTCCTACCCACTGATCCTGGATGGTGGTTCTGATCCGGTCCATCATGTGATTCTGGTTCCTACCAACTGATCCTGGATGGTGGTTCTGATCCGGTCCATCATGTGATTCTGGTTCCTACCCACTGATCCTGGATGGTGGTTCTGATCCGGTCCATCATGTGATCCTGGTTCCTACCCACTGATCCTGGATGGTGGTTCTGATCCGGTCCATCATGTGATTCTGGTTCCTACCCACTGATCCTGGATGGTGGTTCTGATCCGGTCCATCATGTGATTCTGGTTCCTACCCACTGATCCTGGATGGTGGTTCTGATCCGGTCTATCATGTGATTCTGGTTCCTACCCACTGATCCTGGATGGTGGTTCTGATCCGGTCCATCATGTGATTCTGGTTCCTACCCACTGATCCTGGATGGTGGTTCTGATCCGGTCTATCATGTGATTCTGGTTCCTACCCACTGATCCTGGATGGTGGTTCTGATCCGGTCTATCATGTTATTCTGGTTCTACCCACTGATCCTGGATGGTGGTTCTGATCCGGTCCATCATGTGATTCTGGTTCCGACCCGCTGATCCTGGATGGTGGTTCTGATCCGGTCCATCATGTGATTCTGGTTCCTACCCACTGATCCTGGATGGTGGTTCTGATCCGGTCCATCATGTGATTCTGGTTCCGACCCGCTGATCCTGGATGGTGGTTCTGATCCGGTCCATCATGTGATTCTGGTTCCGACCCGCTGATCCTGGATGGTGGTTCTGATCCGGTCCATCATGTGATTCTGGTTCCTACCCATTGATCCTGGATGGTGGTTCTGATCCGGTCCATCATGTGATTCTGGTTCCTACCCATTGATCCTGGATGGTGGTTCTGATCCGGTCCATCATGTGATTCTGGTTCCGACCCGCTGATCCTGGATGGTGGTTCTGATCCGGTCCATCATGTGATTCTGGTTCCTACCCACTGATCCTGGATGGTGGTTCTGATCCGGTCCATCATGTGATTCTGGTTCCGACCCGCTGATCCTGGATGGTGGTTCTGATCCGGTCCATCATGTGATTCTGGTTCCTACCCACTGATCCTGGATGGTGGTTCTGATCCGGTCTATCGTGTGATTCTGGTTCCTACCCACTGATCCTGGATGGTGGTTCTGATCCGGTCCATCATGTGATTCTGGTTCCTACCCACTAATCCTGGATGGTGGTTCTGATGTTTCTGCTTCCTGTTAGATCCCAGTCTGAACTGGACCCTCTGATCCAGAACCTTCCCCCAGTGGTTCTGTGAGGGTTCTGGTTCTGGTGGACCAGCTGCTGTTCCTATAATCATCTTCATCAATGATCTCAGATCTTCTTCTCCTCTGATTTAATCTTTATTTGATGTTTGAACCCAAATAAACTGTTTCAACCACCAGAACCTCTGATCTGAGTCTTAATTCAACTGGACCAGCAGCTGGAGGGACTGGTTCCAGTTCAACCAGTATGAAATGAGCAGAATCATCCTCCTCTCTGGTGTTCAGCCTCCTGCAGTGGTTCCTGTATCAGACCAACCTTCTGGTTTCTCTGGTTGCTCCTCATCTTCTAGCTGAGGACCATCATCATCTGCTGCCATGATCTCCAGCTGCTGCAGGTTCAGGAACCAATGTGATGAAAATGATCCAATGAACAACATCTATCAGCTTCTAGATCTACATTTATTCACTGATGTTTTACCAGATTTTTACAGAAACACTGAAAATATAGAAAACAGTAGAAACAATCAGGAGGTTAAAGGAGACAGAAACTGATCTATAAACACTTTCTATGTCAGTAAAGGTAAACAGTGACTCAGACTAACGGATCTAAACAGAACAGGAGGTTCTAGTTGCTGTTATCATGATTCTTCATGGGGGGTCCAGGTGAGTACAGGTGAGCTGCAGGGGGCGGGGCATCCTGGTCAGGAAGTCTCTGTCTCCTCTGTTGAATCTTCTGACCTCTGATAGAAACACAGAAATAGATCAATCAGACCAGGATCAGCTTCTGCTGAGGGTCTATGGAGAGCGGTTACCATGGCAACCACATTTCAAAACAGTTAGAATCAGTCCACTGGACTTTGTTTCCAAGTTTTAAGCCGTTTCTCTTACAGGAACCTTTTTCAATCTAAAGATGGCGGCAGGAGGAACCTTTGATGTTCCTCCTCTTTCCACCTGCAGAATATCAGAGGCAGAGAAACAGTCAGGAAACGTCTTCAACAAGACAGTGACCTAAACACCAGGACTAGTTTCACTCTGGACCAGATCTGGACCCTGCTGGACCTTTGCCTTTCCAGCTATTTCAAGTTCAGGGATCATTTATTTAATTATCTTTTTTTATCATTTAACTTTTTATTTCATTTTCTTTTACATATTCAGTGCAGATGAACATTTCACATTCAACATAAAGCTTTCTTTTGGGAGCTATTCCTCTATTTGACCTTTTTCCCATCTAACTTATCTAGATCTTTATTGTTGTCACTGTCCTTTGTCCTGAATCTTGTCCATTTCCTCCATTGTTCTTCCATTTGAATCTGTTGAGGGGTTCTTGCGGTCCCCATTTCCTGGTAATTGCTTTTTTGGTAGCTATTAACAATCTCTTAATCAGATACCTGTCATTTACCCTTGCTTTGATATTGTTCACATTGCAAAGATATGGTACCACAATACTCATAGGAATGTCATCTCCCAGAATCTTCTTCACAGTTTCATGCACATTTTTCCAAAACTAAACAATTTTAGGACAGTTCCAAAATATGTGAGAGTGTCCGACCTTCACTGATCCACAATTCCGCCAACACCCCATGTTTGTACCCTTATATTGATTCTTGACTTTAGGCGTGATGAAATGTCCCTCTTTTCTTTTATATACTTAGTTGAAAGTTTATTCATCATCAGTTTTTGATATAGAGTAGAGATTATTTTAATTTTTGTTCCACTGAATGAATTTATCACTATTTTGATCAGCCCATTCACTTCTACAGAGGGATCCCACCTGATTTCTGCCTTATAATAGTCTCTTAATTGCGGGTATCTGTTAAATTCATGTTTATCTAAATTATACGTCTCCTTTATTTGTTGACAACTCCCCAGCTCTCCGTCTCTCTGAAGGATATACCATCCTGTGATCCCATTGCTTATCCAATGTTTGAACCCTTTATCATTCGTTGCTGGTTTGAAGTTGCTATCATATGCTACCCTACTGAGCACTTTCATTTCTTTATTTATCTTGTGTTTTCTTAATGAACCATAATTCCAGTGTGAACATTGTAATTGGATCCATGCATTTATCCTCTCATATCTGTCGTCATCTCCAATAACACTTTTATTGGGTATCCTCCAAACTCTTTCTCCATATCTTTCCACTTAGCCGTGTAGTCTGGTGTGCATCAGCATATGACATGTCTGAGCTGAGCTGATCAGAAGTATTCCCTTCATTTTGGGAGACCCATACCCCCTTTGTCTTTCGGTAGTTGGAGAGTTTCTCTGTTTTTTTCCACCCCAAATGAACCTACATATTATCTTATCCCAGATTGCAGCTTGTGTTAGAGGGACCTCTACTGGTAGTGATTGGAACAGGTATAGAGGTTTTGTTTGCACATTCATTTCAATAATTTCAGTTCTTGAGTTCAGATCCAAGGGCAGAGTATTCCATCTATCTATATCTTTTTGTATCTCTTGGCTTATTTTATCATAATTTGCTTTATACAGTGTAGATAACCCTTTATTAATGTTACCCCTAGGTATTTATTTCCCTTCATATTCCATTTGATGGGAAATGATTCCTGAATTTCTTTCGATGGGATATAATTGAGTGTTAGAATTTGTATTTTAGTTACATTAATTTTATATCCTGAAATATAACCATATTTACCAAAGAGATCCATCAGCGCTGATCGCGATTCGTCTGACTGTTCAAGGAAAGTTATCACATCATCTGCAAAAAGCCATATTTTGTGTTCCTCTCCATTTACTATAACTCCCTTCATTTCTTTGTCTTGTCGTCCTGCCTGCGCCAGAGGTTCTATAAAGAGGGCGAACAGTGTGGGTGACAGGCAGCACCCCTGCCTGGTTGATCTTTGTATATTTAATTTGTCCGTCAGGCTTCCATTTATTTTAATTCTCGCTGTGGGTTGATGATAAAGTGTCTTTATACATTGTACTGATTTATTACTGAATCCAAATCGTTCTAATGTTTTATATAGAAATTCCTAATTTACTAAATCACATGCTTTTTCTGCATCAACACTTACTAGTATGGTACTTTGTTTTCCCAGCTGCGCCTGTTCCTCTATGTGTATAACTCTTCTAATATTATCACGTGTTTGGCGTCCTCTCATAAATCCTGATCTTCCTCTATCAAGTCTGTTACAAAAGTATTCAATCTATTAGAAAGTATGTTTGTCTATATCTTATAATCTACGTTTAACAGTGAAATTGGTCTATAGTTACCACAGTCTTCCTCATCTTTTCCTTGTTTTGGGATGACTGAGATGATGGCTACAATCCATGAAGGAGGTATTTTATTGTTACTGAGTGTTCAATTGAAAGAAGCTGCAAGTATTGGTGTAAACTCTTCTCTAAACGTCTTGTTCCAGTCTGCTGGGTATCCATCACTGCCTCGGGATTTATTATTTTTAATGTATTTATTGCCTCTTTCACTTCCTCTGTTGTGATTGCTGCCGTCAAAGTCAAAAGTCAAAAAGCCTTTATTGTCATTATATTCTGTGACAGATACAATGAGATTTGGGACTTCCATAACAGCTACCGTGAAATAAAAAATAAAATAAAAAAATATATAAAAAATATATAGATATATTAAAAGGAAAAGGAAGTGTCAATGTCTCGTTTTGTTGTTTGCCAATTGTTGGTAAATCTAATGCATTTAAGAAAGTTCTCATTTCCTCCTCATCTGTCATTTCGGGTTGTTTTTACAGTTTCTCGTTATATTCAAGAAAAAATTCCTCTATTTCCTGTGGATTATCTGTTATTTTACCTGTGTGGGTTTCTAATATTATATATGGCGTTCTGTGTTTACTGTTTGCGTATACGTTTCGCTATCAGTTTAGTTTCCCTTGAAGCTGCTTCATAGTAATTCTGTTTCAGAAATCTGTTCCTTTTTTCAGTCTCTCCTAGTAATATCTAATTTATTTTGGTTTTAATTACCCTGATTTCTTGGTTTATCTTTGAGCCTTTTGTTTTCTGATATTCCTGTTCTAATTTCCTAAGTTTCTCTGTATTTGCCCTGTATGTCTGTAGTTTAATTATTTTATCATGTGTAGTTTCAGCTGTCAACTTTCCTCTAATGACTGCCTTCATGGCATCCCATAATATTGTTGGGTCTACTGTTCCATTATTATTTTCTTTGGAATACTGCCTAATTTCTGCTTTTATTTTTCCTCTCCATTGTTCACTATTCAATATTCCTACATTCAGTCTCCATGCCGAATTTCTTTTCCTGTTGTTCAGACATATCTTTTAATAAATTCGGTTATGGTCAGAAACATCTGCAGCTCCTATCCTGCTTCTTTCACTCTGTGTTTGTCTTCTACCTACATTTAACTTAATTTAAATCACCTCCACAAATTAGAATTCCTTCTGTTTCCATGGTGATTAAATCAAATATATTTTTTAAAAACTTTTTGTTACTCTAGGTAGTATACATTTACCAAGGTTATTAATTCATTTTCTATTCCTCCTTCTTTATCTTTTAATTCCTTTCTGTAATCAAGTTGTATTGTTTTAAATTAATATTGGAACACCTCTTCTACGTCCCTCTTTATATGAACCTTGGTATAAGTTCCTGTAACCATATTTTTTATTATTTTCATGTTCCGTTTTGGATAAATGAGTTTCTTGTAAGAATATAATTTGTGCCTTTTCCTTCTTCAGTTTTGTCATCACCCTTTCTTTTGTACTTAGTGTGTTCAAACTGTTCACATTCAGCGACATTGTCTTGATATCAGTCATAAGTATAATTTATTACTCCCTTTAAATCTGCGCCAAAGCAAAGAACCAGCATGAACTCATGCTAACCAAACATAAACTAAAGAACCGGTGGACTTTCAAACATGGGGTATCCTTCTTCCCCCAGTCCCAGTTGGTGGGTGGAGGGGAGATCCTCACCTCTGTTGAGGGCCCCTCCCTAGTATTAGAACCGCTCCCATCCTGTGGGGCACCACTCCCTCTAGACATGTCCAACTTAAATGTCTTACCATCTCCCAGTCGGTTTTAGTTGAATCTTCTTTTCTCACAAAGTCAACTTCTTCTGAAAGCAAAACATTCTAGGATTTCCACTGGAAGCTTTGTAATTTCTCTCTCACTCTGTGTGCTGCGTCACGTTCCCGCTCTTTCCCCTTCACTCGCTGCCACCCCGCGGCTCCGCGCTGTTTCTTCCCTGCTGGCGCGGCATCTCCTCCTGGCTCAGCAACCCTGTAGCCTCTTTCCTTCATGTCCTGCTCTGCTAACCTGGCACTGTCGTACGTCTTAATCACGTTCTCCCAATGAATCTGAATTTTAGCGAGTGGTGCCTGGAAACATATTCCTTTCTCCTTCAGCATTTTTTAATGCCCGAATATTCCTTTCTTTTCTGGACAATCTCAGTCGGATAGTCGTGGTCGAAGTAGATTTATTTACCCGTGACCTGAATCTTTTTCTGCCAGGGTTTCTTCAGGATCATTTCTTAGGTCTAAAATTGTAGAAAGTTTATCACGACTGACCTCAGCGCTGCATTAAGGCTTGGTTTTGGGGCGAGGGATCGGTGGGTTCGTTGGATGTGGAGATTGATCCCCTCCGGAAGTTCAAGTTCCTTCTTAAAAAGTTGCTCCAGAAATGTAGCTGTAGATCTCCCTTCTACTTCTTCTGGTTAACTGAAGATTCTGATATTGTTTCTCCTTGATCTCCCTTCCAGATCGGTTTGTTTTTCCTGCATTCGCTGAACTTGTTCCACCAGCATCCATCGTTAGCATCCATCTTCAAATCCTCCACCTCCGCTATGCATGTCTGTGACTCGCTGATGTTAGCTTGCTGTGCCTGTAGTTCCCGGTGATTCTCGGACTGCCGACGGTCTATTTCTTGCCGAGATTAATTATTTCTTCTTTCATTTCTTTCTTCAGCTCGTCCCTGGATACTACCAGCTTGCGGCACAGCTCGTTTAAGGTTTTTAATATCCTCTCTGATAGCTGCGAGCCCGTTTTGCAGCTCCTCCGTGCTACCGTGTTCTTCCATTTCCTCTGCTGGGGCTTTTTCATGCTTGCTAGCTTTGTGCTCTGAGATTTCTTCTGTTGCAGGCAGCTCTTCAGTTCTGTCTTGCTTTTTATTGTTTTTCTGGCTTCTGCTCTTGCTTATCCTACTCAAGCTTTATATTTATCTATTGAGTTCCAATTTTGTTGTGGGCATTTCTACCTGACTCTGGAGAGCTAGCTGATTATGCTCCTTTCCCCTCTGCCATCTTTTTACCAAATTCAGGGATCATTGTTACAGACAAAAGCATGGTTGTGCCATGGGATCACCAATTGTAGTCAATGTTTACATGGAACAAATGGAAAATAGAGCTTTAGACGCTTTGAATGGAACACCACCAAGCCACTGCTTTAGATATGTGGATGACACCTTCGTCAGAATCCAGCTAAAAGAAGTGGAAGCTTTCACAGACACATCCACTCTGTTGACCATAACATCCAGTTCACCAGAGAGGATGCCAACAAGAACCAGCTGCCTTTCCTGGACTGCCTGGTGAGCATGGAAGGAGATGGAAGCCTAAACTTTGAAGTCTATAGGAAACCCACTCACACAGACCAGTATCTTCTTTCTGACTCACACCCCCCACTGGAACACAAACTCTCAGTCATCAGAACCTTCCAGCAGCGGGCAGAACATGTCTCTACTAGAACAGAAGCACAAAGATCAGAAACATCAGAGATGCTCTCCAAACCTGTGGAGACACAAACTGGACGAAATCCCAAAGAGACGCAGCAGAACATAACGGTGAGAAGATTAAACCCTAAAACATCTCCATCCCATCATGTAGCTGGAGTCTCTGAGGAACTCCAGAGGATTTCCTCCAAGCACTCCACAACATTTCAAACCAATCAGACCCTGAAACAGAGACTAGTTCATCCTAATCTGAGCAGAGTGTCTGCAGGTCAATGCAGTGAGGAATGATCTGATCTTTGGAGAAACCAAACAACCTCTCCACAGACGCATGGCCCAACACAGAAGAGCGCCCTCCTCTGGACAAGACTCTGCGCTACATCTACACCTGATGGACAAAGGACATTCTTTGGAGGACCAGAATGTTCACATTTTGGACAAAGAAGACAGGTGGTTTGGGAGGGGCGTGAAGAAATATTATGATGGAAAGCAAAGCCCATGAGGGTCAAATCCTTTCTTTAAATCCCATGTTACCAAATGGTTGCTTTGTCCATTTATAATAAAGACAGAGACACTAATGCGGTTGGAAAATCCTTTCTGTCGTGGCCTCGCTGAGCTCTGAAGCTGCTGACAGTAACAGATATACCGCTAGCTAAACCCTCCCTCAGTCATCCACACTCCATAGTTTCTGTTAGCAGGTTTTAAGGAGGTATGTGTAAAAATTAAACACGCCAAATACAACAAAATTACTGTAAAGCAGGTAAAAAATTATTAGCTCAGCACATAGCATGTCATTAGTGTCCAAAATTATATTTGTAATTAAATATGTGGAGCCGCCAGCTCAGCGATCAGACGACAACTGATCTGTTCAATGAAAATAGCTGCATGAGCTGGAACGCTGTAGAAAGCAACAATATTTATATGATAATGACCATCTGCACTATTTACTAGGGTGCAAATATAACTCAAGTCACGATCTCTCTTCTCAGCTGCAGACATGCAGACAGCATCGTGAGACTGCAGTAAAGTTTGCAATAAAATCACAGATTAAGCTTTTCTGGATTAATAACTCATCAGCGGATGATTTATTCTACAGAACAGACACCAGAGTAAGCCACACAGTGAGCTACAACCGTAGTTCCTGAAAGCGAGTCTCTTATCGCGCTGGGAGAATTACATTGGACTCTATGGGGAGCTCACTGCTCCAAAAATGCTCCGTCTGCAAGTTGCTAAATAATCAGAGAGAAATATTCAAAAGTGTCACCAAGGAGAGGTGGATTATTATCACATTCATTGGATTAGAAAATAATACTTTGAGGAATTTCCAAAGCCTAAATGACAAATGGCTCCTCTGTTCTATTATTAGAATAAGTGTAAACTAAGCAATGACTACACTATAGAATAGTGATGCACGATATAATGGGCCCCCTATCGGTATCGGCCTTAAAACTGAATATCAGACATCGGCCACCCCACCGATATTTAACCCGATATTTGATCAGCTTCTGAGTTTCTAAAGTCAAAAAAAAAAAATACTACTTCTTCTTCTTCTTCCTCAAAAACTTCTTTTTTACAGACTTAAAAACTTCTAAAGACGAGGGAAAAAATATTGATCCATTAAAATATCCCAATATCTTCATATGCTGATATATTGCCATTTAAAAACACCATATCAATCTCTTTTACTAATGAAATATTGCTATATGTCATCGTTATGCTACGAAATCCCCCGAAAATTCACCAAATGTTGCCATATTTTTATATGTTGATATATTGACGCGGTATCGATCTATTTTACTAACAAAATCTCACAAGAATTTGCAAAATATCACGAGAGTTTGTAACAGAACGATGAAATTTCACCAGATTTTGAAAGTAAAATAGATCGATACCGCGTTTTTAAAAATCCATTTGATATCAGCATATGAAAATATATTTGAGTATATTATTTTTCAAAGTGTCAGAAATGGATAACAAAACTGCTATTTTCAATGACTACTTATTTTTGTACAGCTTTAACATCGGTATCGATATCGGTTATCGGCTACATGAGTTTTAAAATGTCGGCATATCGGATATCGGCCAAAATCCCAATATCCTGCATCCCTACTATAGATCACTGTAGTGCCTCCAAACGTGTAGCACACATAGATAACCTCATCTAGATCACACTACAACTCTTACTTTGGGGAAATGTGCTAAACTCTAAATTTTTTTTTTAGATGTGTTTCATTGTTATTCTAAGCAGGCCAGGTGTTCAATCTCTGCAACAGGAACCACAGCACTGAGCGTTGTGCGCACTGCACAAAGTATACCTGTCACACATGCAGGAAGGACTCAGCTTGGGTTTGTAGAAACTGGGAAATGGGACAATTGTAGCTTCATATGTAGAGATTTTCCTTGGGTGGAATAAATGTTACTGCTATACTGAAATCAGACTGATTGTCATTCTCTAAGCTGAAATGTTAAATGATGTGAAAAGGCGACAGAACAGACAAGATACAATTATTCTCTACGTTTCTTTCACATAGTGATCTTTGCAATATAAATGAGTCTGAATGGACGATATAAACAGGCTCTGCCTTGCCTGGCTGGGAAAGCTGGTTATGACCTGTTCTCAGCTCAGGAACTAGGACCCGTATGATATCTGGTTGGTCAATAGGTTTAAATAAAAGATTTAGATCTGACTTATTAGGATATTCCTGCAGAAAGGTCTGATGTTGCAGGGGAAGGTAATGGAAAGAGGAGCATGCTCTGGTTCTGATGCCAGTTTGTTTCAGCCTTTATCCAGTCTCCTGTAGAAGGACTGGTCCTATCACAAGTTATTAGCATTACAACAAGGACAGTTAGCAAGGTAGAGTGAATACACTAACTGGAAGAGGGGAGGGGGGCTGCAGGAAAACTGGAATTCTCTGAGACATCTAGTGCTAAACCACCACCCCCAAATAACTGACGTAAAGGAAAAACTCTCATAAAAGACGATCAGTAGCAGAACTGGTTAAAGTCTTTAGCAAAGCTAAACCTCCAGACCAAAGGAAAGCCACTGGAAGGACCTGGAAACATGAAGACATTCAACATATTGCTCACCACACTAATCTTTACTCTGCCCAAGAACTAGAGGATCCATCAGCTTCAGTCCTCAGGAGGTAGAATTGTTCTCTTCATGGTGTGTTTATTTTCCCTGCTATGGAGGATTATTGGCAATAGCTGACATTACGGCAAGAAAAAGATTCCAGCTACTACAGCGCTTCCTTTATTTCAATGACAATCACCAGTTCAACAGCAGGTCAGACCGTTTTTACTAAATACGCCCTCTGTATGAAATAATGTCTCCTGATTCCATCGTTTCACAAACATAGTGTGGATGAGGTTATGGTGGCATATAAAGGAACGAGAGCCGCACACTCTGCCAATATATATAACAGACCAGACAGGTTCCTCTGGCATCATTCAGGACTTATTGTTTTACCAAAGAGCATCAATGTTCTTCAATGTTCCCCTCAGTGAGGAGGAACAGGAGCCACCTCTAGGTTCCACAGTGGTCATGACATCATCCAAGACCATAACAGAGACCAACCTCTCCGTTATATTCTATGACAACTACTTCACAAGCTTTGACTTCATACAAATTTAATGATGTGCTGCTTTACAGATCTCCTAGGATTATCTATCATAAAACAGGTTTTCTCGCCTCTTCCTCTTCCGGAGGGTTTTCCCACATCACCTAAGCTGCCTAAGAGAAAAAACTGTTTGAAACAGCTCCCATTCTGGCGATGTCCAATCCACTCTGTCTGTTTCAACATGATTAGTGGATGAGTGGGGGGAGTGTGTAGAATATTCTATAGCTCCAACAGTTTGGTAACAAATCAGCAATGGTTACCCTTTTTCTTAAAATGAAATGCTGTAATAACAGGACTGCCACATTGTCTGCGTGTTTGTGACTGTTAATACACTGCTATCCCAGCATTTCCTGAGACACTGTGCACTATTCTAATCTGACCTCTTTCATGCCCTACCTTGTCATACTTTAAAAAGTCATTAATTTCATAATTATGCATTCAGTAAACAGCATCTGAGGAAGTCCCACCTCATAACAATGTTGTCAAAATAAAAGACCCATCTCACCTCGATCTGAAATGCTTTTCCTTTCCAGATCCCACACCCATAAAACACTCTTGTTTTAACGCATGATAAACTATGTGTTAAAAGGGGAGTTTTATATAAGGATTTATATAATACTATGAAATTTAATAATAATGTTTAAACGAATGCAATGCTGCTATCATTAAGTCACTATCTCAGCCTAGCTCTCTTTTCCCCTCTCCTTCTCTTTTCTTAAATCTGAGGGGCAGCTTGTTGTCCATCATTCCTTCGTGGCTCATTTATGATGATTGTCTCTATCATCCACAGAGCAGGGTAGAGAAATGGTGAGAGAAAGAGAAATAAAGTCTGTGAGAGAAACAGGTCTGAATCGGGTCCAGATATTTCCCATTGTTTTGATGGACATTCCTCGCCGCCACAAAAATCTAACCTCAGTTCTTTTACATTCTCATTGCTGGACTTCCAGAGACTCCTACAACATTCCTGCTTGCATGTGATGATAAAATGCTTAATTACTGCATTTCCCTTACAGCCCAGATAAAGGCCGTGAGGGAGCAGACGCAGGGGGAGTGCCTGCGGATTTGTCTTTATAAGAAATTTAAGGAGGAAGATTTGGAAATCTGGCAGGAGGATGGATCCATTCCAGGTGTTGCTGACCAACGGCACAGTAGGAGCAATCCTAGCTGAGGCAGCATTAGAAACAATCTGAGGATGCAGACGCCTGAACGCTGCTTCTAAATACGAGGGACAAGCCTCTTCCTCAGAGTTTTTCTTCAATCACCGTCTTGCCTTTCATACATCTGAGCAGAAGTTTCCAGTAAGGTTCCTGCAGCTCTACAATCATCTGAGAATAAAGGAATATTTTCTATGAGTAGGAGGCCCCACATCGAAGACAGTGAACTGTAATATGATCA